TCGTGTGATCTTTGGACGCGTAAGATAAAGAACTTGTTCATGTCTTTAATAATAGGTGGTTGGAATAAGTTGTGTTATAATATTATACGAGAGTTTAGCGAATCTTCGAACAATGCATACATCTGATGAAAGACTTTATGTCATTTTATCATAAGTAGCTTCGTTATTCCGATATTTAGTTGTTTTTCTTGATATAAAACTAAATCATTGAAATATTTTTGTATCTCGCTACTGCTAAAAGCATCGCAAATAATACATGTATTTGAAATCAATATCAAAAGGGACAACTATTTTACAGCAGATTCCATTGAGTGTGTAGCCAAAGGTAATATCTTTGGTTAGCTTGTTTGTTAGCTGAACCGTGAAGTCATTGTTAGGTTAGGTAAACTACCCTACTTTAAGACTAGACTTGTCCGACAGAAAACCAATCGATCCGTCTGTTGGACTATGCTACTTCGAAAGGAGGGTAGTATACCTGACCTAATAATGACTTCACGGTTCAGCTAACAAGCAAGCTAACCAAAGATATTACTTTTGGCTACACACTCAATGGAATCTGCTGTAAGATAAACATTTCAAACTTGGTTTAACGTTGATAAAATACATGCATTTTAAGCATTGGCTTGGTGTCTCATTGACGTTTTCCCAACATCCCCTCTAAGTAACTAGTAAGGTGAACGATTTTTCATGTTTGTTTTCAACGATGCGAAAAAAAACCATGATACCATATTGTAGGCTCTAAAAGGACCCGACGTGCAAAATGTAGAAGAATTCAAACGAGAAAAACCAACGACCTGATTCATGATGAACCAATGAATGAAAACATATGACACACGACAACTACTTATCATATTACAGACGCCTGACTTGTATAGGTAACATTTGCATACATAAGATATAATAACAATCATAATCAAAATAAATACATCTATTTGATCAAATACGAAAGTTAATTATGAATAAAGTCTGGTCTCAAATCATTTAATTTTAAATTATTGTCAAAGTTTGAAATTTAGTTTGATTGTATCTTTATGGAAATGATTTTTTTATACAAAATAACTGATTATGAATTTATAATTTGAACAAATCTATCAAGTAATTATAATGGTCGACAAAAACTTCAGGAAATATTAATCAATTGCGGAGAAAAAATTTCAGGTCTTAAGCCCAAACTTTATACATGTAGTGTACTATTCAAAATAATATAGGCATTTTGCCTATAATCTGTTAGTACGCATTAACTTCATGTTTATGAAATCATAATTAAGTTAATGTCATATTATACATATTGATATCAGTTCTAATATACATACATTGGCAAATCATCAGACGGAAATATCATTTGTTCTAGATGGATGAGTAAGTGTCAGCTGTGCGCTCATTTTAAATCTGAACACAACAAATTTAAGCTTTTACAATATGACTTCTTTTCAAATACAGTGAATTAAAAATTAAACAGTTAATTTTTTAATGTTTCTGAATAAATATAATGGGCTATCTGAGATAACAAAATAGTTGAAATAATAATAATGAATGGTTTTTAATTAAAATAATAAAAAAAAAACATCCGTTCATGCTAACATCAAAGATATGTTATTGAAATTATTTTCAGTTCTACATATTTCTTAACTTGAAGGTTGCTCTAAGCATGTCTTCCAATTGTTATGATTATGATGTTAAGTAATAACGCGAGACTATAAAGGCAACAGTAGTATACCGGTGTTAAAAAGTCATAAATCGATTGAGAGAAAACAAATCCGGCGGGTTACAAACTAAAACCGAGGGAAACACATCAACTATAAGAGTAAAATAAAGGAACAACAGGAACACCGAAGTGCAACAAAAACAAACGCCAACATACATATAGAAACAAACTATTTGATAACAACTGCCATATTCCTGAATTGGTTCTATACGTTTTAAATACACAGTCTAAGGGAGATAAATTAGATTCACACTCTCATCAAAAGTAACGAAGTAGAAATTAAATGCATTTTAAAAAAAAGTTACATTTTACACTTAGTCTAACTCATATGTGCAAACTTAAAGTAGAAATCAAATGATAAATAAATGATTTCTTACTACATTATATAATGCTCTTTTTGTTTTTAGAGATTACGTATGTCATCAAGTGATTGGTATTCATATTGGAACTAGCTGTGCCCAAGCACTCTGACTAACAATTATGAATTGCATTTTATTAATCATTTCATAACAAGTCAACGTAATACCATATGATAGATATAGTCAACAATACTGGGAAATATTTCCTCTCCCCATAATTTAGATTTTTTGTATCTATACAGATGAAATTTATCCACCTGAACTGACTCTTAACACATACTCAGTTTAAAGTAGTCTAGGTCCTGTATAGACTTTGATATTAGAATTTCGCACATTAATCCTAGTAAACAATTTGTATCAAACCGGACAACCTTATCTTTCTTATTGTAATGTTTTCGTTGAAAAAAATGCCCCTTGACCTCAATGCCCCTCAACTTTCGAAACTTGTTTTATTCGATTCGAGCGTTACTCATTGTTACTGGTGAGTCTTTTGTAGAAACAAACGCGCTTCTAGCGTACAAAGTTTTAAGCCTGACATCTCTGATGAGTTAATTTTATGTAATGTAATATTCCTAGTAGTTGGTTCGATACGTTCGTGTTTCCTCTATCGTCTAAAGACTGGTGGCACTAGTGGAGCATCATCTGCCTACTCTTTCGGAGCTCGGGATTATCCTGGGTTTTTGTGGGGTTCATGTTGCTTTGTCTTTAGTTTTCTACGTATTGTTTTGTATCCTTGTTTTTTTTTGTCGACTTTCGGTTTGTGCCTTATCATAGTCAGTTTGTCTCGACTTTTGAGTTTTTACTGTTCCGTTGGTACCGTCCGCCTCTTTCTTTACATTCTCCTATTCAGTACAATGCTATACATTTTACAAAACAGACATAAAATAAAATTAAGAAGAAATTTAAATATTTGTTATTTCAAATATATACCTATCTCTGATTTATTTAAAGAACTAAATTAAAAAAAGAAACAAACAAAAACAAAAGCAAAAACTAAAAAGGGTTTTCATACCGAGATTTGTATTGTTATATCGTTAAAAAAGCTGTGTCTTTTCAATTGTGTCTCTATTCAAATGATGTTATTTTTGTTTACTTTGAGCGTTCCACAAGACTTTTCACGCCGATTTTCTATGCGATTTTTTACTTTGGCATACAGATGTCGGCAAAACAATGAAATAAGACACAATTTCTGCATAACATATTATTTACTTTCAGCTTTCTGTCCGAAGCTGAAACATTTTCTTTAAAGTGGTCTAATTTGACATTGTTTTATCAGTACCTGTGTGTATTTTGTCTGTAACAAACGATATCGTCATGGTAAGTGCTGGTGTTCTGAAATACTTTTAATGTGCATTATTCTATCAAAACACTGGCGTCAATTATCTTTTGAGTATACAAAAATGATGGTGAAGTGTTATAAAAGCTAAATTCTATTGATCACGTTGTTGACTTTGTGCACAATTATGAGTGTTCTACCTTGGAGCATGTACAAACTGCTATGCCATAAAATCGGATTAAGATTAGCTTGGTAACCTGATTAAATGGGTTTTTCTAAAATTCAGGTATTGAAATCAATCATTTGTTCTCATAAAAACCTGTCTTTCTTCAGTCATTAAATATATAAATATAATTGTTTCGGAACGTGCATAATCATGCATCATTTAAACTGAAAAGGCATTTCTTGACAAATGCATACTATCGTTTTTCTTTATAGACAAATTACATATCGTCAAATTATCGGAATTGATAAGCTGTGCATCTCTAATTGTAGACCCTTTTCTTTACTGTTACAGTTTTCTCTCATGGACAAACTTACGGATGTAAAAACGCAAAAATTCTGACAAATTAATTGATATCTTTCTCAGTTACAGCAAATATCTTGCCTATTATCATCACTGTTGTGTATGAGGTTATCAAATATGCAAAATGTATTTAAGCTTGATAAAGCCAATAACAACTGTCAATATTGTTAATTTTTGTGTCATAACTGTATTGGTTGCAAATGGAAATATTGAATTTCAAATACAGGACGAAAGGGAACTTTTCAACTTTTTCATCAAAAACTTCAGTTTAATGGTTCTTTCTTACAACGGCCAGGCGATTTAAAATTCTTACTGGCCTCTCACAAAAACTGCCGATTTCAATTGAAATTTATATTAGCGTTTTGATTTTTATGGTTTTTATTTTTCTTAAACGGCAGTATCAAACTAACAGCTGTAGCTAGATAGGATATTTTCCTGTGGGTGCGAGCAAATTTTGAACCAGCTTTCCAATGTATGCGTCATTTGATTTATTTGCTTGTTGATGTTAGTTGTCATCTTGTTGGTTAAATTCTTTTCATTGTGTGTTATAACTTTACGACATATGGTCTAGAAAGTTAAAGATGGAGGTTTGCGATCAAATTGCTTCAACCCATCACATTTTAAGTCCGTACAAAGTCTGTACCATGTGCTGTTTGTTAGTGTTTCTAATTGTTCCAACGTCATTTTTGTTACGAAGAAGTCGCTATTGGTGGTGGATGTGGTCACTTGTATTGTCCCATATTTTTTTGTTACCCGGTTTCTGTATTATCTTTATACTTTTTGTTATTTTGTTTAAAAAATAAAGAAAGTTTTGAAATACTCAATAGAATTTGGTGTTGATGGCAGACCTTTTGGAATCCTAGAGAAGCTTTAATTTAAAGCAAAATTGACCTAAAATGTATTTAAAGATTTGTCAAATTCTAGAAATTGAATATTGAGTTTACTGTTTTCAACAGAACATAATATTATTTGATAATATTTCTTTTTATTAGGTTAGATTGTCATCAAAAGAAATTCCAATCATTAATATGTCGAACTTTCCACAAACTCTTGTCATCTTCGCCCATAAATGCCGGGATTTATGATTAAGACTAATGGTTCGGAAATGGCAATCAATTAGTGAAAAAGGCAAGATTTGTTGTCAAATAATTTTATGTTTTTTTCAGCTTTAGCATCTGACATGTCTGACATATACCGGGATTCTGCAAGCTCATTTTCCTGAAAAAATAGAAGAAAAGAAAAAAATATGTTTTCGTATAGAAAATTACTCTGAAACTTATGAATTCAACATATTTTTACCCAGTAATCAAAATCTCTTTATTTCTAATCAGAAAACACTTGAAAGTTAAAGAAATGTGACTGCAAAGTCTTGTATGTACCTTACTTTGTACACCGATTGGAGTTCTTATGATGATGCTGCTCCATTGTTACGCAAAGTATTATACCTTTAAACATCACATATACCGTTAACGTTTACGAACAAAGGCAGTACGACGGTTACATTGTCTTTTTGTACCGAAAATGACCGCAAATGATTGATTCGGATTTCGCCTCAAAACATGTTTTGAAACAGAAATGCAGTTTATTTGACATGAATTTTATGTTTTAATTGGAGAAATTCAAATGATTTTATCTTATCGTTAAACTTTTATTCGTCAACAAAATAACATGAATTTATGGAAATTTAATTTTTTCAAAGTACAAAATGTTTATTAGTTTTTTGTTGGCTTATCATCACACACAACAGTAACTTTATAATATCATTCTAATATACAACTGCATTGTACATCATATTTACAATCAAAACCATAATAAATGATACTGTATCAAATATAGTAACCGAAGCTTAAAGTTCTTCCTGGAACGTCAAAAGTTATACCGGCTGTGTTTTTGTGCAGCTTAACACTGATGGCAATACTTAGAGTAAATGTGAATACACTGCAATTTCATTAATTGTGCAATATTTTAATATTCTAATATTTAGTCCTATCGGTATGTCCCTAAAAAAAGTGTTAATGCTAAGCAAAAATTGCATTAAGAATTCCTCATTATAAGGATGAAGTTGTTACTTAAAACCCTTCTCCGATCAGTATCATGATTTTTCTGACTGTTACAAAATATCTTTCCTCATGTGTCAAACGTTCTGTTCCTGTCAACGATCTTGCAATCTCGTCGTCCTTTCCTCGTCATGACTTATCACCAGATTCAAATCACACTTAAGGTTTACATGCAATGAGGAACACTGTCGATATTGCTTTTGTTACAACTGTCATATTCCTGACGTGGTAGAAAATGGTAAAATAAACCTGGTTTTAAAGCTAGCTAAACCTCTCGCTTGTATGACAGTACTTGACCAGGTCTGAACCATACTAAACCAAGTCATTTATCGACCTATTTCTAATCTATCTTTCTTGTTTTGTTTCTTTTTAGAGTTTCTTTTTTTACAACATTTGCTTCCCTTGGCTTGATAATTGACTAGGAGGTAATATATAAAAAAAAGATTTGTCTGATAATCATGATAATAAAAAATCAATGTAAAAATAAGTGATTTAATGTAGATAAATTTTAGTTATAAATTCAAGACTGGAAAAAGTAGAGGTTTATTGATCAAGTTTGATCTAGTATGGTTCAGACTTAAGCCGAGTATCGTTCAGAGCTAAAGACATGAAAACAGGTCGAAAGCTTATTAAGTACAAGTCTGGAATAGGTTAAGACTGATTCAGCCTGCTCAAGTATGACTCTGGACTTTTCAGTATGGTCAAGATAAAGGTAGAGTTCACGTTTAGACTAATTAATATGGTTCATTGTTTGTAAATTCAAAATTAAGATGTGGATTCTAAAAAATTCGAAAGAACTGTTAGAGTACATACAATCTAAGGGTATTTCTTCTTGCACTAGTATTAAAACATGTCCTACCCTTTAACTAGTGCACCCTATTTTTAACTTGAAGAGACCAAAGTAGGTACAATAACCTTGTCGAAGGAAGGTTAACATCATACTTTGTGAAAGATCGCTCTGATTCAAACAAAGCATTCTCTCATACCGGCAACATCAGATGCTTGATTATTGCATATATTTTATTGACCAACATATCTGTTACGTTTGGGGAACGTGTTTTTTCAATAAACAATTGTTAAAGCCTGATCACGAGTATCATGAAAAATAACATCAGGGAGGACAAGTACTGCTGACTTTTCTAGATCACACGAGCTCGTCCCTTATTTTGTCGGTGCGACAATTTTGTTACTGTGAATTTTTGTTCATCTTTTCGTCTGTGTTCCTTGTAGCCATGCTGTGTCTGTCCTTCGACAGTTTTTACTGATTTCGAAGAGACAAACCATCTTATCACAGATACCAGGCTTATAATTCGGAACGGAAAATGAACGACAATTTAAAGCACAACTCAAATACGAAGTTGAAATCCAAAATTACTAAAGTTGTGCTACTTATGGGCACATAAGTCTGTGATAGAAAAACTTTAATGTATTCATCAGTTCAACATTTTAAAAACACTCAATTTACACACAATGAACGCATTAATGATAATATATGTCAATTCAACAGTTCTGACTACTGTGTTGATAATGTTCCAGGGAACGAAACCTCCATCAGCAGTGGTATCGACCCAGCGATTGTAAAAACTAATTAAAGATACCAAGCTTATAGATTGGTAAAATATATCATGACTTTGTTGTATGATACGACATGATCATACCATATGTTGATGCATATTATAACATTAACATGTTTTGTTCGAGTTATATTTATCTACTAACTTAAATATTTGTTTACACACTAGTTACTCCAAAAAATGTTACTTACCGCATGAAAAGATAAGAAGCAATACAAAAGCTGTTCCAACAATTGTTAAATGTTTCATTTTGAAATGTTAACCTGAAAATATTAAAATGATTGTTCATGCATTTGTCATGGAATATTTACTGTAAAGTTGATATTTGTTTATTTTTTACCAGGTTTTGTCGCAGATAGAAATTTCTATTTATAATTGCATAATTCATTTATACAAGGTTAACTTGAATATGAAATTCAAACCTTTGAAAGCTATGATAATAGATAAAAGGCAAATTAATTGAAAAAAACAATTACGCAGCAATATTCACCTTTTTTGATTTATATCTGCACAAAACAGTCTGAGAGTAATTACACATAAATCTGCGTCTACATTTATAGTAGCTTGTGTCCGTAACTAGTCAGGATATTCCCTCTGAGAAATTAATGTCCAGGATGAATCTGTTGTTTGTTTTGCACCTCGTGAGATCATATGATAAATAGCAGCAGGTTTAATTTTGTCAAAGTGTTTCCTTCTATATGCATTTTGTGGTTTGTAAATAATCAAGGACACCAAAATACGAAGATATATCATAACTAGAATGAAATAACAAATAAAATTTTGTTTTTCAACTTTGTAGTAGTTGAATGGTAATAACGATTTGAACTAGTTTCTATGATTTTATTTTGGAGAAATTCCTACTAAGTTCCTTATCTTAATGACGAAAACATTTAAGGTTGGAAATAAACGTCTAATTTCATAAGAGGATCAAAAATGATAATTACGTTGTATACCTGTCCGAATATAACTAGTGTACGATATCAAAATAAAACGAACTTGGTAAATGGGAAATAAAAAAACTGATATTCATAGGACAGATGTACATACATATATATCTTCTTTTTATATAAAAAAGAATTAAACAGACCAGTCGAGACATAAATTAAGACGACGGTAGTTTACCGATATTTAGACAAAAACAATCAGATAAAAACGATCTGCTAACAGACACACACACACACACAAATGGACAAAAACCCTAGGCTTAAGTTTTTTTCCATCCATCAAAACAGATAGTCAAACGAATTTGGTATTGAGTCAGATATATAGAAAACAGAATATAATGCAAAACATAGAGGGTAAATATATTTTAGATCATTTGTACCAGTTTCAGCTGAAAAAAAAGACTTTTGGCTGATATTGGATGTATATAAAATTTAGTATTGTTCAGTATATGTTTTTTTGAATTATAATGATATTATAGTTGTTATAATTTTTTTTTTGTTATTGTGATTTAAATTTATTTTTGTCGATTGGAAGAGTTTGGTATGAAAATCTGTCTATATGAATTACCCACGTGCACGGGACTATATGTAAACCTATGTACGAAAATATCACCACGTACTTCAAGTCATATAAATGATTCTTCAAATTGAAAAAAAATTGTTCTATTTACTTGAACGGCTAAGATTTAAGGAATATTGAAACTCAGATGTCGAAAACAAACTTAGAATGTCATAGAAAAAAAACACCGATCAAATGACAGACAATAGTTTATACCACACAACAATAGAAAACTAGAGACTAAGCAACACAAACCCCACCAAAAAATCTACAAAAAATCTGCTGTGGGCAATCTCAGATACTCCGAAAAGGTGAAAAGATTAAGTCAAGATATGAGGCAGATTCAACTGTATCTGTTGTTTCCGTAATTTTAAGTTCGATAGGATAGATGTGATCAACATAGTCACCAAAGTTTGAAGTATTCAGTGAGAGGACATCATCTATATAGCCGAACGTGACGTTAAAAATATAAATGCTATCTTCTTTTCATTCTACCAAAGAAGCTCCTGTATGAAGTGAGCCTCATATGAATAAAGGAACAAGTCGACAAGAAAAGGAGCACAGTTGGTTCAAGCAGGAATACCGATTGTTTGTTGAACGTGACGTCCTCTAAACGTAACCAAATATTGTCAATAAAATATCCAACATTTTGATAATGTCAGAGAATGTCTTGTTTGAAAAAGAGTGATTTTTCTACAAGATTTATCCCTCATGTACATAGAGTTATTTTTAAAAGAACATCTTTTATTTTATCAAAATTTCAAATATGTTAATCCCTCCAAACCTCTTGAGATCTCCCCAGTTGTTTTGCGGGGTTCGTGTTGCTAATGCATTATTTTTCTATATAGTGTTTTGTGGACTTTTTTTTTTGTCTTTTTGTCGTCTTTTATTTTTGGAATAGCGTTGTCAATGCTCCTTTGACTTATGTGTTTTTGAATATCTCTTTTATACCTTTCTGCTTCTTTGTTCTTTGATATGTTCTTTTGAATGTATTCACAACACTAAGGGGACTCAGACCTTGAGATTCTATATGCATATTTGTCTAGTGGTTAACACCATATTTTCATATCTGGATGTGTTTTGGATTTGTGGTTTTAGGTGTCCCTGTGCACTAAATATCAACAAAAACATATTTTAAAGTCGCATTAAACGAGTTTCTGATAATTATACTGTTACGGAAATTATGAACAAATAGATATAAGAAGATGTGGTATGAGTGCCAATGAGACAACTCTCCATCCAAGTCAAAATTTATAAAAGTAAACCATTATAGGCCAAAGTACGGTCTTCAACACGGATCCTTGTCTCACACCGAACAGCAAGCTATAAAGGGCCCCAAAAGTTACTAGTGTAAAACCATTCAAACAGGAAAACCAATGGTCTAATCTATATAAAAAACGAGAAAAGAAAAACGCTTATGAACCACATCAACAAACGACAACTACTGAACATCAGATTCCTGACTTAGGACAAGTGCAAACAATTGCAGCGAGTTTAAGTGTTTTAATGGTGCCAAACCTTCATCCTTATCTGAAACAATAGTGTAGCATCACAACATAGAAAGACACACTATAAGATATCAATTGAAATGGCTTAACTCAATCAAAAGATATATTAACACCAGTGAACATACACTGAACAAATAAATTTGATCTATGATACAATGTAAATACAATAAACAAAAAGACATGTACAGAATCACATAAGGTCTTCAACAATGAACAAATGTCTATATGATATTTCAAGGTCACCAATCATCCAGAGTCTAGACAAACTTCTTTCATAAAATTCATAAGACAAAGACTATGAAAGTTCCGGGTATAACAGCAAATTCGACGATTCAGCAACGATTCAGATAATCAAAAGACATAAACATGTAACGAGAGTTTCACTAACTCGGAACCTTCCTTTCACGATCAATGTATAATACAAGTAACATAGCAGAATGTGTAATAAAGATAGATTTGAAAATGATTAAAGGCCATTTTGGATCTTATATGACCACAACTGATTTGTTAATATTTTGACTGAATTTTTCATATTTTAGAACAGAAATTTTCTTTTAATTGTAAAATTATTTGATTTTATATAAACATTATAGCTTTTTTTTAAATTTAAAACAACAATTCTTAGTTCAAAAATAACAAAACAAGTAAGGTGACCAATGCTTTTACTGTATTATGAGAAAGCACGATTTGAACTATATTTTTTCAAAGTATAAGTATTTATTGGTTTGCATATTATCCTATACCACCATTTCTCTACAACATCATTTTAGTATACAACTATACCATAGTTACAATAAAACAATTATTATTAAATAATAAGTCCACGAAATTCATAGTCCTGCACGGTTGATAGAAATTATAACGCTGTAAAGTCAAATATGGGCGTCTTACTTTGTAGTAGATTTTAATACAGCACCTTCGTTAATGGTGCAAGATTCTTTAACATTGAAGTATTTTAGGATTACTTTATCATTTAAGTATTCGAATAGCAATTGAATAAGGGCTGTTTATCCCACAATTGATTTTCAAGGACGTTTCTATCAGGATGCCCTTAATAAAAGGATTACTGATAAGTGGTTAATGAACAAAGTGCTACTTAAAGACCTTTTGCAATTGCCATTTTAATGTGTCTGACCCCGTTACGTAAAATTTCTCAACAGATGTCAACTGTCCTGATCCAGTCAACAATGTTGAAATCTCGCCGTCCATTCCACTTCATGAATTATCACACAATCAAAATTACACAACATCATTACAGGCAATGAATTTAACCAATACATTTGTTTTTGCATTGGAACTGCATACTTTTGTAGAGGACTTGCTTTCATTTTCAGGATAAAAGGATACATTTACTTAGTATGTAAGTGTAGTCGGAGCTGCTACACTTACATACATGATATTATCATTTTAAGTTTCACATGTGTCGTTCTCGTAGTATGTATGCACTTTTCATCTATACATTTATTAACTTTTAAGACAACACAACGTTTACGTTTTCTCTCTGATTCGCTTTTTCTGTCAATTACGTTTGAAATTATACAAAACGGATTTGTGTGTTATTCAGTTGATATTCGGAGACGTAAGATTCATGCATTCGTTTATAAATATTAACCATTATTCACACCCGAAAAAATTAAGTGTACTACTTAAGATGCATTTAGTATATTATCTATTGTATTAAAATATCCAGACACAAACACACAAACATACGTATATTAAATGAACTTGCTTATATCTAGGAGGAACGGGCTGATATCGGATTGATAACAGCAAAAGACACATTTGATAAAGTATTAGCTGCTACGGCTTCAATTCAGTTTTTCCAAAACTAATAAACGAACATAAAATGTATTAATGACGAGATAATCGTATTTACAAGCATACTTTTAATTCTTTACAATTTAACATGATGTTTTGGAAGTTTTCTTGAGGTGCCATTCAAATGAATGTATGACAGGTTTCCTATCGTCATGAATCTTGAATACAATGATTCTTTTTATAGTTGATCTGTCTCATTCAGTGGTATAAGACCAAATGGATCTTTTTAATGCAATGTTTCTCGGGAAGGTACTGTGCTACTCCCCCACCCCTATGGAGATGTGGACCAACTAAATTACCATAAACCACAAAAACCAAAAGACATATTAAGATTAAAATAAAGGTTTTCATCAATGGACAAATGTCTAAATAGCTTTCCCCTAGTGTAAAAAAGTTGTGAATACATTTTAGTGAAACATTAAAGAAAAACATGCGAATGGGAACATTCATTCCTATAAGTCGAATGGACACTGAAAATGCAATAGCAAATAACACATGACGACGAAAAAACAAAAAACAAGTACAAGAAACTCTATATGGAAAACTATGATAACATGGATAATACATAGAAATTTAAACTTAATAACTATGAAGCTGAAAATATCCATTTTTCGTAAAGTTTGTTCTTACTCTACCCTTACTCTACCCTCATTGTGTATGTCTAGATGTAAGTCAAGATATGAGGCAGACTGTATCTGATAGATTACAGATCTGCCACTGACATTATAACTGATCAGGTTTCTGACATAAGACAAACATATCAATACGAGAAGGGATAGTTAAATTTGCTTATACATCTTAGCGCTCCAAATTTTAATCTTGAATAGAAGTTACGGCAATGAGACGACAACCCAAAAGAACTTTAAATTGAATGACATGTACAGGTTAACTTACATTCTTCAACAATAGACAACTTTTTTTATAATATTTCAAGATCCGAATCTTCCGGATTCTAGACAAGTTTTGTAAAAATTAATTTAGACAAAGACTAAGAAAGACCCGGGGTCAACATGAAATTTGCGAATGATTTAGCTTTTCCAAAGACACATAAACATGTGACTAGTTTTTATAATTGGTTGAACAGCTCTGACAGTTTCCGACTAATGAAATAACAAAGTTACATAGAACTTCGTGCAGTATATATAGATCTGAAACATGACTGAAAGTAGCATGAGAGGGTTTCGCCATTTTGGATAGAACGACCGCAATACAGAAGAACAGTTATGGATTGAAATATAATTGAAACTAATAAAATCTAACATCGACGGCTGTGCTTCGGAGTAAATGTTTTATATATAGGAACATCTTCAATGTTCAAGGACATTTTATCATTGCAAGAATACAAATAAATGACATGCTATGGCAATACATAATACACACATGATGTGATACAAGACTGAGAGCAGAGAACAATAATACATTAATAATATAACTAACCAAGGGTTTCCTGTCCCACAATTCAACATACAAAGTTCATAACAAAAGTGTTTTGTAGCTTAAAAGTTAATGAACAAAGTGAAACTTGTTATGAGGATGAATCAGTTTTGTTACTTTAGAAGATGTATAATCACCTGCTACTTAATATCTTTTCATATGTGTCAAAGTTCTGTTCATTTCGGTTATTTCTTTTCCTGTCATGACTCCACCTACATCGAACCACAGGATACTGTGATCTAATCTCATTTTTGTGATTTTCCTAGGTCTTTATTTGTATTTTCAAGATTTACTGTTTTTCTATACATACTTTGCCATTAATTATGACGTTTGTGTGACATTTGATGAAGGAGATTGACCTTAGTTGTTATACAATATACATGTATGTATTTTATGGGACAGTTATACTTAAAGTTTTTTTGTTGTTGTCTTTGTTGTTGTGTATATTTTTCTTTCCTGATTCAATCTCATCCCTTTCTACGCAGAATAAGTTTAATGAATTCGGCCGTTCGTACACATTACTGGTTAAAGATAGTATTAGCCGTTTAAAGATTCCAAAATGAAAAGAGTATACGTGTAATATACTCGTTTAACAGAATTTTAAAAACATGATTGATACTTCATTGAAAAGCTATCTTCATTGCATTTTATCAGGAAAGACACATGATATGTTTAAATATTAACATCTCAATCAAGTTCGAAAGATTATTCTAGTCAAGACATGATACTGGTGTAATTATTTGTTGTAACTCACTTAGATTTAATACATTCATTTTGATATTTATCATAAAAAAATCACATATATGTTATGACGGTTAATTATTTATACTGACCGTATGATTAATTATATCCGGATCGTCCCCGATTCTGTTTGTTTGGCTTACAATTACAACGAGTGCACTTTCCGTCTCTTGGTCCATTTAGTGCACAACAGCTTTTACAATCTGACTTTGTTGGTCCTTTTCCTCGCACATCAAGTACTGAAAATTGTTTGTTACAGTTAAAGTATTACAATAATATGATTCATTGTTTTGGTAATTTAAATCGATACAATCTAAATGTGTTTAATCTATCTATTATAAGGAAGCTACTAAACCAAGAATTCCAACTGAGGAAAATGGTGAAGTTGAAATCATCCCTTCGTTAATTTTACAATCGTCATCATGATTTAGTTGACCGTTATGGAATATCTGTTTCACAGATGACGACGGATATGTTCCAATTGTCGTAACTACAATACAGTCCTCGTTTCCCCGAATGTGAAATACCTAATTAGACTTATCATCGAGTTTGTACTTTGAGCAACACGACGCGTGCCACATGTGGAGCAGAATCATCTGCTTACCCGTCCGGAGCATATGAGATCTTCCCTACGTTTTGGTGGGGTTCGTGTTGCTTAGTCTTTAGTTTTCCATTTTGTGTTTTGTGTACTGTTGTTTGTCTGTTTGTCTTTTTTTAACCATGGCGTTGTCAGTTTTTTTTCGACTTATTAATCTAAATGTCTCTTTGGTATCTTTCGCCTTTCTTGTAAGTGTTAACCGTTAGAGGTAATCATTAATTGTTTTTTGTATACTCAATTTACTGTTATTCAATGTAGGCATTTATAAATGAATCCAAATATTGTCTGTGTATGTTTGTGATTGGTCAGATATGCACATAAAAAAAAAAAACCAAATCACAAAATTAATACATATAATAAAGTTATTTTGAACGAATAAAACACATACTACCGTATAGCGGGTTTTTTTGCGGGGTGTATTTTTTCGCATATTTTGGCGGATAAACGAAAATCGCGAAAATAAATTCCACGAACATTTATGCATATTTGGGCACTTTCTAATAGCTAAAGCGTTTTGTAAACGATCTTTTTTTTCTGGTCGGCAGGTCAATAAAGGTATATGCTAGTTTTAACAACATACATGCCCTTTGCATTATACATATATGTATTTTATAAAATGACTGTCAGGTGTTATACCTTTATTAATTAGTGTCAATTAAAAAAAGAGTGTAAGGTACTCATATCAGGTAGTTACCTTATTAATTAATGTCGAACTATACAAGAGTTGTAAGACACTCTTGCTAATTTATTAACCTAATTAGTAAGTACACCAAAGGTCCGGTCAATTACGTAACTAATCAACCGAAAAATTAACAAGAAATATTAATACCTGCAACAAATATCTAAATGACCAGTATTCTATTGATTAACTGTATCAGAATATAATCAATAAATTAGACGTTATTCAGTTAAAAACAAATCATTTTACCATAACAATAGACACTTTTTTGTCAAGTTTTACAACTTTTTAACTGCAATAATTTCAGTATCCACCAAAATATTTAATTGGGATTTAAGAATCCACCAAAAATAAAAACCGCCAAAATTGTTCGTATACTTTGTTGCCCCTAAACCGCGAAATTTTACACCCGCGAAAATAACCCGCTATACGGTATGTTCATGATGTTTATGATTATTTTGACAATCTTTCTTACTTTTTTAATACACTTTGTTTTGTTTTTAAAAGAGTCAAACAGATATGAAATATTTGATATATCAAAGGATGAATATAGTTTTGTCCTTACGAAAAGTATGTTACATCGATAACACATATTGAAATACACTGACTTAGGTATAAGGGAGATGAAGTCCGTTACCTATCAATACATGCAATATGGTGAAACCAAATGAAACATATATTAACATACTCTTTAACAGAAGATCACGCACGCTTGAATAGCAAAAAATGTCTTTGGTATTCCTCTTATCGCAAAATATTGAACACTCGTTTTCAATTTGCCGATATAATTTCATATAAAATATGCATTATGCGCGTAATGAATGTTTAAATTGATGTATAACATATTGACAGTGAGCTGTTATTGAACACCTCTCTTTAACGGTTGTATCATCAATATTTCTACGGGATACAAATTTCCAATCGAAATAATGAAATATTTAAGCCTCTGTATCGCTGCCACCTGAGTATGCACATACGTGCAATGTCACATACAACTCTCTTGCTCTCTCTCTCTTTCTCTCTCTCTCTCGATATCTGTTTCGTTTTGGGTGAAAAACAGCTGACGTTGTTTATCATCTTAATCATGTGTCATAGTTTTCTTTTTATTTGTCTTTGTATATTTCTATCCTTTAGTCCATTTTTGGTAATATCCTTTTGTTTGGCTCGGTATTTATACATCCCGCCATTGTGTTATTGTGCTATGGTAATTTTTTGTATTCTTGTTTTTCAGTTTTGCTTATGTGCTTTGTCTCTAGGGTGTCTAAATGCCATTTTGTTTTTCTTTGTTGGTACAGTTGTTTGTTTTCATAGTGATTAAGATACCAAATTGCAATGTTTACAGTATAGAATCAATCAGCGTATTTTAGGAACAAACAAATTATTGTATAAAATAAAAATAATGGATAACCCAAAATTGTACATTTTGTTAAAAAGAAGATGAAACAATTGAACACTTGTTTTGGAATTGTGAGATTGTACAAAAATTTTATAAATGAAAATAAACATTGGTTTATTTCAAATGGTATAAGTATTCCCTTTACTATTCAAAATTGTATTTTTGGAGATATCTCAAAAGCTTTTAGTAGAAATGTGACCAACCTGATTTTTCTGCATATTAGACATTATATTTTTAGTTGTAAATATTTTCAGAGAAGACTTACATTATTTGGAGTGCAAACGAAAATACAGGATCTTTACTGTATTGAGAAACACATTGCTGTTAAAAACAAGAAACTGGAAATTTTCGATGAAATGTGGAATACTTTCACTATATTATTTGACAGTTAAATAAATAAATGTACAAACATGTAGAATCAAACTTTTATGTTTAAATTTGACAGAAATAGGATAGGATGTTAAATTAAAATTCATCTAGGTAAAACTTTTTTTATTTTATTTTTCTCTCTAATTATCAGTTCTCTTCAATATCTGGTCTATAATGCAGAACTCACTATGAGTTTTTGTATCTATTCTTTTTTTTTTTTTCTACTTCAAACATATTTTTTTTTATATATATATATATCTGTATGTTTTGTTATTTAAAGTATAGTTAATTTTAAGCTATTCAAATTGTTAAGGAACATCCAAATTGTTATTTGTGTTATGGTATATATTTTTATTTTATTATGTCATTATAATGTGTAAATTACTAACAAATACTAATATCTGCATATATATGTTATTTACTAATGTTAACGAGGCCGGGATAAGGTACAGGTATTCGATGTATTCAACTAACAAATGTACAGATTTCAATAAAAAATGATACATTAAAAAAAAAACAAAAAAAAAAACACAATTTTGAGTGTTGTACCTTAATTTTTGACATTTTTACCTATTATGTCTGTTTCTTTTGCTCATACATTGTTGTCAATATAATGGAATTTTACGCTACTATGATACAAGTGAGAGGTTTAGCTAGCTCTTAAACCAGAATTAATCCACCATTTCATACATAAGGAAATGTCTGTACCAAGGAATATGACAGTTGTAATCCATTCGTTTGATGTGTTTGAGGTTTTGATTTTGTCATTTTTAAGGGACTCTCCGTTTTTAATTTTCCTTGAAGTTCGGTATTGTTTTATTTTACTTTTTGAATCTATATTTTAAAGATTTGGGAATGCCTTGTTTTTACCAAAATGAATGGTCCAATGCGCTTCTTCCTGATGTCTTATCAAGAGAACCGCAACAGGGTTCGTCAGTGCAGCAGGTACTACTGACTTTTCCTGAGTTTGCCCCTTTTTTGGTGAGGTTGCTTTTACTAAGACAATATTTGATATATATAATAGCATTAACAGTGCATGTTCCAATTGATATGTAGTAACTCAAACATGTATACAAATAAGGAGATGGGTATGATTGCAAATGAGACAACTATCCATTACAGTTCAAATGAAGTGGATGCAAGCAATTATAGGTAATCTTACGCTCTTCATCACTGAAAAAAAACCATACCCTATAGTCGGCTATAAAAGGCCCCGACATGAAAAATATGTAACAATTCAATTGAGAAAACTAGCGACTAAAAGGGATATCGCATGAGGATGTTATGTCAGAAATAGGTAAAGTAGTTAATATTGACGATGTGTTATCAATTCGAATTACTGAAAAAGATTGTATAGTTACTCTTAAAAACCCCGAAACAAAAGACAGACTAGCGACTCAAGGTATAACTCTTAGAGACAGATATATTAAACGTTATGAAGTAGAGAGTTCAATTACTCATGTAACAATAAAAGACGAGCCTTATGAACTAGACAATTGCTACATTTGTACTCAGATGCTTAGATTTGGTAAAGTTGTACCAGGCTCTATAAAGCGAGGCGTCATTAAAGGCACAACCATTGAAAATGAGTCTCGGTATATTCATATTATGTTCTATGAGGCAGTACTCCCAAATAGAACTTCACTTGGTCGTTTCGAAGTACAATGTAAATAGATATAAGAAGATGTGGTATGAGTGCCAATGAGACAACTCTCCATCCAAGTCAAAATTTATAAAAGTAAACCATTATAGGTCACAGTACGGTCATCAATACGGAGCCTTGGCTCACACCGAACAGTAAGCTATAAAGGGCCCCAAAAAATTACTAGTGTAAAACCATTCAAACGGGAAAACCAACGGTCTAATCTATATAAAAAACGAGAAACGAGAAACACTCTTGAACCACATCAACAAACGACAACTACTGAACATCAGATTCCTGACTTAGGACAGGTGGAAACAAATGCAGAGGGTTTAAACGTTTTAATGGTACCAAACCTTCACCCTTTTTCTGAAACAATAGTGTAACATCACAACATAGAAAGACACACTATAAAATATCAACTGAAATAGCTTTACTCAATCAAAGGACATATTAACACCATTGAACATGCACTGAACAAATAAATTTGACCTATGACACAATGTAAATACAAAATAAATAAACTAAGGGAAGCATAATAAAAGTAACATGTTA